CAAAGAGGGTAATGGAATCTGAGGTGGAAGGTAACAGGGGAAGAGGCAGGCCTAGAAAGAGATGGATAGGTTGTGTGAGAAAAGATATGGAGGTATGTGAAGTGAGTGAGAAAGATGTGCTCGACAGAGACAAGTGGAGAAGAGCAACCAAAGCAGCTGAGCCCAGGACAGTCTGGGACTGAGGCTGTGAAAAAGAAGAAGAAGTAATAAAAATAAGACACAGACAACATTAGAAATGAAAGCTTTTTCTCTAGATTATTCATGCAATCATATAAATACCCTGAAGCATAGGTATATTTCTCTGTTGCTGCCTTACCTTGACCTTCTGGAAATCCTTTCTTTTTTTTTTCCCGTTTTTGAATTATGTAGTCAAATGTAATACTCAGACTTTACTTTTGTAGCAACTGTAATTTGCAACAGTAGTGTGGACATTAACGGGGCCGGCTCACCCTTGTCTTGGAGTGCCTCAGTTCAGCAGGTCATGTAGGTTCCCCCAAGTCATTGCACAAATTACCTGCTTAAGTGATCAAAATGAAATGTCTGTCCGTGCTACTTTTTTGTACAAGACTAAGGCTAACCTGGCTTAAAGATAGCGTTGGTTTTGAAAATATTACTAGGTCGATCCCCCAGGTTAAGGTCTGTTTCTCTAACATGCCCGTGAAGTGTTTTTTTTGTTGTGTTGGTGGTCTGGAAAGTGCAGTCAGCCTGGGAGGGGGCAACGTTTCGGCAGACAAGTGAGTTTTCCGAAACGCAGTGGTATCTGGGCTGCAGTGAAAGCTGTAGCTGTTGTGGAGAGATGCCGATCAATGACGGGATGTAGCAGGCGAGCTGATGGTTGGCTCTTCTCTCTCTGTGTTGAGCAGGGCTGGGAGGAGAGCGTGGACGCAGCGGTCTCCCACCTTCTGAGGACGTGTTTGTCCCGGAGCTCCAAGGATCAGGCTCTGAACCTTACAACTAGCCAGCTGTCCATGCCCAAAGACACCAGCAGGCTGAAGAAACACATCACGCTCCTTTGTGACCGAATAGGCAAAGGTGGACGCCTCTCCCTTTCTGCTGAGTCCAATGCACAGACACCCATCGTGATGCCAGGTACGAGATAAACATGCAGTACTGTTCTCTTTTGGTTTTATTACTGAGGAGGCCTCTGTTGGCTTTTCCACCACTCACCTTTATTTTGTCTTGCATAAACAGTACTTAATCAAGGCCAGTGATATCGGGGGGGAACGGGAACCCATAAGGCACTTGTGATCCCTCGGCTTATCTGGGGAGCAGTGTTACCGCATGTCTTTGTAGGTGTATTGGCCCTACCATGCACCTACTCCCATCTGAAGTGAAAAGTGGTTAAGGGACACCCCCAGGAATAAAAAAATGGATACAAATACCTCCAAGTGATACTGCAAACAGCAAAACCTGAATGTAAGTATAGTGTATATGAGGAGGGTATAATGATTGTATAATGCTCCGTGTTTTGTAACAGTAAGTTGTATTAATAGTAGAATGTGCATATTCTTTCCTTGTTAATAGTTGGTCTTTTCTCAAATGTTTGAGAGCTTCATGAAATGATTGTACTCTAAAGATGAGGCTGAAAACGCTCTGGTAGCTTGCCGATACAAGCTTGGGCTGTAACGACCAAATGCATTTTTAGTGAAATGTTACAGTACTATGTTAGCTTAAAAACTAGCATTTAAAAAAAAAATGTATATATTGTGCACAAGCTTTATTAAGGATCTCAACCTGAGTAGTCAACCGAACTGTTAGAAATGTATAGCATTTTGCTTTAGGTATTTTACAGTTGATTACACAAAACATTAATTTAATGGAATTTATAGTTATCTATAAACCACCTCAGAGCCTTGTTAGAATTGCCATGTGGATATTTAAATTATACAAGTGTGCAAGTAATTAAAAAAACACACCAACAAAGTAACTGATATTATGGAAAGAACAAAAACCAATAGACACTAGATCCTCTTTACTATCTCTAGAATTGAGTTTAAGACCCACACTTTATTTGCACCTTTCCTCATAGACATGTCTTTTCTGATTGTTGCATGAGGATTTTTTTTTTCCCTCCACAAATATCTTGCTAGCAGGACCTCCTTGGCTTGGGAAAAGAAAACAAGATTAAATGACCTTGAGGACAAGTTGGCCTTAATTACTGATACACAGACTTCACTGGTGGTGCAGGGTTACACCATTTAAAATATTTGCAGTTAATGGCCTGTGACAGGGTTCACCGTTCTCTTGGGCATATAAAACGTTCTTTTTGTTTGCAGTAGGACACCTGGAGCTTTGGCGTCCAGCAGCCATTGGTGTGATGTGGAAGTCTGAGTGGTGTTAAAGATATTGCTGAAAAAATATCTCGATCCCCCTTCTCCTTAAGGGAAAAAAAACAAAGCTTTCAGGCTTCCAGACTCTGTGAGTCTCTGGCCACATGGAGATTATTTGTGAAACCCTGGGACAGCACACAGGATGCTGTGAGTCTGGGTTGTGTAATAATCTGAAGAATAAACAATGTGTGTCTAGTCCGGCAGCTGTTTGTTGCACTAGAGGGCCCTGCCTTAGTGCTTTTGTTTCTAATAACTAGAGACAGGCGTTTGATGTTTATTTTATTATACTGGATTCAATTCAAGTAAGAAGGTAATGACTGAGGTCTGGGCAGGCCGAGACTCTTTTTTTTGTTTTACTCTGAAGCCTGGAACGTTTGGAAGATTGCTGATCTTGCGCAATGAATCGGTGGGCTCTGGCTGCTGCCTCTCGGTCCAGTAGCTTGTCAGTACAACATGTCATTAGGAGATTGTGAGTCCCCAGACTACTTCCTTGACAGGACAGCGCATTGTTCTGCCGTCCCGACTAATGTGGAGAAGCGATGATTAGTGTAGTCTGAAACTCCGGCCTGTAGAGAAGAGATTTGCCGGGTGATGTCTGTGGTCACTTTGATCCGACATTTTGGTCCTTTTGAGGTCCTGACACAGCTACAAAGTGATAACATTGTACAAATAGTGAGCATCAAAAGAATTGTAACCTTGACATAATTGTCAAGAAAATTACAATCTTTTTTTGGTGGGTGCACTGACTTTCTACTGAGCCAGCATTAAATAATTATTTTTTTTTATTCTAATTAATTATTTGTCATCCTCAATAGGGTTGATTAATGTGGGGGGGGTCTACTGTAAAAGCATGCTACTAGAATCTAAGGCCACCTTAAGAAGCAATGCAAGTTTTACTGTAGTGCTTGCCTTGCATTGGTTTGCCAGTCATTTCTTGTTGAATTCTGTCCCCGTCATGTCATAGAGTGAGAACAAGATCGTGCCTGTTCACTTTTCTTTGAGCCATAGATGCCATCCAAAGGCTCCTGACTCACCTCACAAATGTTCACTGGGGCTCAGATCAAGGGAATAGGGCCTTTACTGTATGGTTGGCACACTGCCATCTTGCGGGAACCCTGTTGTTACGAGAGGAACTTGTAGACATGCATTGTTCTGCTGGAATCAGGGTAAGCCCACTGTAAGGACAGCAAGTGAGGTCTCAGGAATTGATCATTCTACCTCCTTCAAGTCAGGCTGCCATCACTCTTTACAAATGAATCATTATTGGCTTGATTAGACGGGATAATTAGCTTCTCCCAGCTCTCTAGTGTCGGTGTACTGAAGAGAGCTGGAATATTTCCAGACTCCCCATGACCTGGACTGGGGATTCCTGACCTAACTGAGCGATCAGTCAGTAAAATTGAAGGCAAAACGTTCAATCAGTATCAAAGATCTCTGCATACTATTTTTATTAAAAAAATACTTGCATAGAGTGATGTTTCTGCAAGTGCTGGACATGAATAACAAAATGTGCTTATTGTTTGAGAATTGGGATGGGAGAAGGGATTTACCACTCTATTTCCATTATTTTTTAGTTTAACTTGTGCACGTGGTTTGCCAGCAATATGCACTTTTATTAAATGAAGATTTTTAAATATAAACTTTATCTGCATATAGTTTCTCTTCATTAAAGTTTCTCTTTATCTGCATAATTATGTAGAATACATTTATTTTCGGCCAGCAGCCATATCACCCTGCAGCTCTCAACTGGCTACCCACTGAAACTAATCAGGATTGGGCCTGGTCAGTACCTGGATGGGAGACCTCCTGGGAAGCTAAGGTTGCTGCTGGAAGAGGTGTTAGTGGGACCAGTGGGGGGTACCCACCCTGAGGTCTGTGTGGGACCTAATGCCCCAGTATAGTGGCCGAAACACTGTACTGCAGTGGGCGCCGTCTTTTGGATGAGACGTTAAACCAAGGTCCTGACTCTCAGTGGTCATTAAAGATCCCCGGGTATTTCTCGATAAGAGTAGGGAGTTATCCCGGTGTCCGAGCCAAATTTCCCCCCTCGGCCTTTACCGTGGCCTCCAAATTGTCCCCTTGTATGATCAGCTTGCACCTCCTCTACGATGGACAAGCGCCCTCTCCCTGCCTTATAATAAGAAGAAACTTTATTTTATATAGCGCCTTTAAAGGTGGCTTCTCAAAGCGCTTTACAGGATGACAATAACAATAAATAAGAAGACTACAACAATAAATAAGAAGATTTCACAAGACAGGACACAATTATAATTACAACAATACAACCATAACAATAGAGGAGACCGTGGAAGGTGGTGTTAAGAAGAGCAGAGGGGTGAAGAATGGAACCAGTTAAGTAAAGGCTTTTCTGAAGAAGAGGGTTTTGAGTCTGGATTTGAAGGAGTTTAGAGAAGGTGACTATCTGATATCCTTGGGCAAAGAGTCCCAGAGTTCCTTGTGCTCGTTGCTTGCTGGGTAGGCTCCGGCTTCCCGCCACACCGTATGGTGTGACATTTGACATTTGTTTTCATCATTCTGATACATTAAAACTTATCGCAAATGTTTTTATATGACCAGTTACCACATTTTTCGAATGGACATGAAGTGTTTTGGTTGGACACCAATCTATGTTTATTACTTTGAAGCTGACTTTGACTAAAAGACTGCAGTCTTATGGTTTTCTCACATCAATAAGGGAGACTAACGTTTTGTTTCAAGACTCTGTATAACCACTCGTGTATGTTTTCTGAGTGCCATTCTTTTCTTTATTAAAAGATTGTGTAGAAGGTGTTGACTAGGATCTTTCAGATTTTGGTCCTAGTTTAAATGATTTCAGGAATCCTCATGTTGGTCAAGGAGGGCTTGCCGTAAATAAGTTACAATTATCTAAAAAATATTAAGTGCAGCACAATATAGAATAAATAAATTAGGCTAATACCTAAAGCATTACATTTTCCGTTGTAGAAAAGTAGCATTCAGATATAGGACCTCAGTCACAAAATTTTCTATGCGAATAGAAGCTTATAAGCAGTAGCTAAAGGGCATATAATGAAATGCTGTATTCACACACCAGGAAGAGAAGCACCTGAAAGCCCTGCACAGGCATGCATATTCAAGTGTGAAAACACAGACGTTGAAAATCATGTTTTTTTTTATATTCTTAATGCATAGTAATGTATGCAAATGATGTGAAAGCACAGAATTAACAAGGGAACTGATTTAAACACTGTATTCACAAAATCTTTAGCAGATTCCTTACTTGCAAGCACATTTTTGTTTAAAAAAAAAATCTAGTTTAATGAACTCAGATCCATCTTTTAAACATCTGCTGTGCGGCATCAGTGAATGTTTTATCTGAAAATGGAGGCCCTTCTTGCACACCAGGCTTTATGAAAGGAGAGAAGGGGAAGAAAGTCCCAGAGCCCAAGGCTTGTGTACCCAGAATATTATTTTACATAAATATTAAATACCGTCCTCGTGCTCTCTTTCCAAACCTTATAGTTTATGGTACCACTGATGCCCTTTATCTTTAGGTGCTCCTTAAGATACTTAACTTCGATTATAAGCTACTGTAATGATTTTTACATGCATCTAATGGATTATCAATTATCCATTTCTATCATAGTTATTTACTTGAATGAGAGTTATTGAGCTATTTTAATAGTGATTTTTTTGTTTTCACTCTGCCATAATCATGACATCCTCTTATAGCCTTTTCTTGTCACTTTTCAGAAGCTAAACAGGACTGTGCCTGTTCAG